TGTGTGTGTGTGTGAGAGAGAGAGTGTGTGTGTGTGGAGAGATGAAGATCGAGTTCGCTCCTCTGCATCTTCCTCTGCGAAGACGTCTGCAGACAGCCGCAGTCGTGCAGTGGGTCTTCAGCTTCTTAGCTCTGGGTGAGAAACTGTCCTTTCACTCCTCATTACAATCATACTCGATATATATCACACAATTATAAGCATGTGTCCCTGCAGCACAGAAGCAGTCTTAAGTCGCTGGGGTATATTTGTAGCAATAGTCTGTCGTCTGCAGCTCAGGTCTGTCTGGCGGCGTTTGTCCTCCTCTGCTTCAGTGATTGGTGGATTCTGGCTGCGCTGTATGCTGGTTGGCTGTATCTGGACAGGGACACGCCCTCGTGTGGAGGTCGGAGGTCGCACTGGGTCAGGAGCTGGCGTGTGTGGACGTATTTCAGGGATTATTTCCCCATCACAGTGAGTTTATATGAGCTTGTGTTCAGTAGAGACTAGGGCTGGGAAAATAAATCGATGCATCGCAAATCGAGAAATGATTCTGCATCGATTCAGAGATTTTCCGAATGCATGGCGATTCTTTCTCGAGTGGATTCTGAGCTTATAGTTGTGAACAGCAGGTGGCGCTGCATGCTTCAGAAACATCCGTACTTAATTTAGTCTTGTTTTCTGAAAAAATTATCCAAATTTTGTTAGTTTTTGCTTGAAACAAGTAAAAATATCTTCCAATGGGGTAAGAAATATAATCTTAATTCAAAGGCTAAACAAGATTATTTTTCTTAATATAATATCTTAAGTTGTTTTACTTGTCAAGTAAATGCATCTGAATTCCAGAATTTGTAGATATTTATACTAGAAAACAAGACAAAGTTATTTTTTGCAGTGTATATGTGCTTTATTTACATGCGGCTCTGTTCACAGTAAACGCTGCTCCGCACAAACTCTTATCATTTACACGTGTGGAGCGTCTGAAACTCCATCTGTGCATGTTGTTGTGAGTTTGTGTTTATTATAACGTTCATCTGGGAACGCAACGCTCGCCATTTCATCAGATGTGTAAGGTAAATCATTAATAAACCTACACAAACACAGGAGAATACGTCAATATCTTTCTCAGTATGCTAACTGTTCATCGCGGTTTCAAAATAAACGTTTAAAACCCTCGCTCTGAGTTTACACGTTTTGATGTCCACATATTCTAGAAATGACAGTGGCTATAGCATTTCTGTCGTAAAGAAACAGCCAAATATTTAAGATTAAGTGGGCATTTAAATTAAATGTTGTTTGGTCAAAGTAAGCGGCAAAGTGTAAAACAATCGTCAGGCTGTTGGCGCCCTCTGCTGGCATTTCTTAAAATGCGTACTGTACGTTAGTTCTATTGTTCAATAAAATCATATGATTACTTGCTTTTAATACTTTATTTAAGCTAATTATTATTGCCTCATTGCTATTATGTATTAGGGCTGCGATGATAAATCGATGCAGAATTGATTCGTGGATTGATTCTGAGATCTTCCGAATGCATGGTGATTCTCTCTGGAATCGATTCTGAGCGTAGATTTTAACAGCAGATGGCGCTCTACTCTAGTTTTTATCCGCACACTCACACATTAATGAAGAAGAGCACTTGTGCGTTCGGCTGAGTCTGTAATTTCACCTCGGCTCAGAATGCTTTTATGACGCCAGATTAATGTAAACACAGCCCACTGTGAACACCCTTGTGATTCGCTTCAACCTTTTCGAATCTTATGAATGATTGTTTTAGGTTTGAGTGTGTAAGGATTTGGAAAAGAGCAGAGTACGGCTGTTTCTGAAGCATGCAGCGCCATCTGCTGTTCACAACTATAAGCTCAGAATCCACTCGAGAAAGAATCGCCATTCATTCGGAAAATCTCTGAATCGATGCAGAATCATTTCTCGATTCGCGATGCATCGATTTATTTTCCCAGCACTATTATATATGTATTTTAAGTCATTTTCAAAGGCTATTCTTCACTTAGGTCTATTTTTATTACCACAAAAAAATTATTATAATGATCCGATTACTCGATTAATCGTCAGAATAATCGACAGATTACTCGATTGCTAAAATAATGGTTAGTGACAGCCCTAGTGCTCTGGTCTCTCTAGCTGATGAAGACTGCGGATCTGGACCCTCGTTATAATTATCTGTTCGGGTTTCATCCTCACGGCGTTCTGGTGGCCGGCGGATTCGGGAATTTCTGCACGGAAGCGTCGGGATTCTCTCGGATGTTCCCTGGACTCACGCCGTACCTGCTGATGCTGCCCTTCTGGTTCAGAGTTCCCTTCTTCAGAGAATACATCATGGGCGGAGGTGTGTGTGTGTGTGTGCGTGAGAGTTAGGGGTGTGTGAGTGAGTGAGTGCGTGAGTGTGTGTGTGTGAGTGAGTGAGTGAGTGAGTGAGTGAATTAATGAGTGTGTGTGTCTGAGTGAGTGTGTGTGTGTGAGTGTGCGTGTGAGTGAGTGAGTGAATGAATGAGTGAGTGTGTGAGAATGTGAGTGTGTGTGTGTGTGTGTGTGTGAGTGAGTGAGTGAATGAATAAGTGTGTGTGTCTGAGTGAGTGTGAGAATGTGAGTGTGTGTGTGAGTGAGTGTGCGTGTGTGTCTGAGTGAGTGTGTGAGAATGTGTGTGTGTGAGTGAGTGAGCGAATGAATAAGTGTGTGTGTCTGAGTGAGGGGGTGAGAATGTGTGTGTGTGAGTGAGTGAGCGAATGAATAAGTGTGTGTGTCTGAGTGAGGGGGTGAGAATGTGTGTGTGTGAGTGAGTGAGCGAATGAATAAGTGTGTGTGTCTGAGTGAGGGGGTGAGAATGTGTGTGTGTGAGTGAGTGAGCGAATGAATAAGTGTGTGTGTCTGAGTGAGGGGGTGAGAATGTGTGTGTGTGAGTGAGTGAGCGAATGAATAAGTGTGTGTGTCTGAGTGAGGGGGTGAGAATGTGTGTGTGTGAGTGAGTGAGCGAATGAATAAGTGTGTGTGTCTGAGTGAGGGGGTGAGAATGTGTGTGTGTGTGAGTGTGCGTGTGAGTGAGTGAGTGAATGAGTGTGTGTGTCTGAGTGAGTGAGTGAGTGAGTGAATTAATGAGTGTGTGTGTGTGAGTGTGCGTGTGAGTGAGTGAGTGAATGAATGAGTGAGTGTGTGAGAATGAGTGTGTGTGTGTGTGTGTGTG